TCTATAGCGGGAAGCGACTTTATTTTAGCCTATATATAGATACAGACATAATTTTATGCCGAGGCAAACCAAGTGATCGAAGAAGGAAAACACAACAAGGAAAATGTAATAATTTACATTGTTAAGAGTCCTCAAAAGACTTATGACACAAAAGTGCTACTTGACAACTGCTAATACAATACCGCAAACCACTTTGTTAGTAATTTATTTAATTGAAACACGATAGCGATAAATATAACATACATAAATATTACATACATTTTGACAAGTATGATAGTATTACGACTGTTACGCGTACTTATTAACAGTACTAACTAAACCAATCATAATAAGGAATTTATTATATTTAATCGCTTTTTTATTGTTCCAACACGTAACGTTGAGGCCACTATCGGCTTTTATCGTTAAACCTTGAACCCAACCACAAATGGCGTCATTAGTAAGAAATTTCTTCACAATTTGTTTTTCCAAACAAAATTATCAGCAAAAAGTTGAAGTCCATCATCTAATATCTATCTTGAAATAGATAAATTGTGTGTTATTTTATTCATTAAATTAGCATTTTTTATTACATATATTACATACATATATTAAGGTTGCCTTTAGAAGCTCTAAACTTGTATAATTTTATCTTTGAAAATCTTTAAATGGATTGTAAAGGTTTAAAGGTTAAGAAATCCAAATTCTAAAGATCCAAATCTTCTTAAATGTCTTAATGCACGCGCTACGAAGCATTTTCATGGATTATTTAATAAAGTAATTAATAATAAACTAGGAACAAAACCTACTTTATAAGATTGTAGAAGTTATTACGTCATTCTTTTTATTAAGCTCAAATCCAAATAGAAACTCATTTCATTACGCTTTGTATATTTTCATCAATAGTGTTTCCATTTAAAATTTTGATAAAAGAGGCGTATAATTAATGGATTACTGTAACTTATGTAAAAAAATTTTTTTAACAGAAATTGTTTTTTTTTACAATAGAATCAACGTATCAAATAATTTAGGCATGTTACTATGTTTTCTTGTATATTTTTGAATTTTCTTCTAAATTAATATTATAAAACGAAAGATTTTTTTGGTCTCTTTGAAATGAAAATGAAAATGTTTATTTGCGAGAATATGGTACAAATGATGTTACACAGTTATTAACAATAGTTTCTCACATTCTATAGTATATGAACAGTGTGCAAATATTTTTATTTTTAAATGTCATTACATGAAAACAGAGAATAATTTTTCAGTTAAGATGATGTCAATAATTAATAATTAATCATTCAACCATAATAATCCATTTACAATTATCATTACAAATGTCAAATTAAATGTCATATAAATTTAAATTTAATTACCAATTTTATCCATTAAAAAGTCATTCATATTATAATATAATTTATTTAATAAATATTCATGCATATGTTTTTGGAATTTCGTCAAAGTCATGTCAGTGAGGTATTTTGGCAGCTTATTATAAATACGTATAGCCATACAAAAAAATCCATAATCCATATTACCGATTAAAATTTCATTAATAGAGTAAACATGCCTTCTTTAGGCCTTTAGGTGTGTCATAAAGGGTTGTAGTTGGAGCGCTATTGACTTTACATAATTGTGCTAACATTAGAAGAATTGCTCTTATGAATAACTAATACCTTATCGCTTTGTAAAATTCAATATAGATAAGCATAATTAAATCTGAAGCTACATATTTATACATTTATTTTCTTAAACGAATCTGTAATTTAATATGGATTTTTTTAATACTTCTTTCCGATATACGTTATCAATTATTAATTTTCATTGAATTCGAAATAATATAGGTAAATGTATTTTAGTGACTCATGATGTTAGAGACTTAATTTAACCAAAGCAATTGCGTCTTTACTCGATAAAATACTTCCCTGTAATCCTCTCAACAGCGGAGCTTAAATCCCTTTCTGTGGATATGCGGATTTACTTTGTGAACTCGGATCGGTTTCCCACCAATGAGTTTGTATTTGGTGAATGTCTTCATCACAGATGTTATTCATGCCAATTGAGTTTGCTGAACTTCGAAATACTAAGCCAATGTTAGCTTACTAGTGATACTAATAATACGGTAGAAAATATGGTGATTTCTTAATGGCATATATTGTAAACAATTACGTAGTAAAGTTATAATAGGAAAAACATTGATTAATAATTTTCCCGGTAAAAACTCAAAAACTTATTTATTTAAAATTCTTTGCACAAATAAAACATTCAAATAGCGGACTTAATGCCAGTAGGCATTCTCTACCAGTCAATGGGAGAGACATGAAATTAAGACTTTTCAGGCAATGCTACAAAAAAATTTAATAAAGTTAATACAGACACATAAACAATAAAAAAAATCGAAATAGAATTGTATATAATGGAATATATACAATTCTATAACATAAAGAAATATATATTTAAATACATACATACATAAATATAAAAATATCAGATTATTAACAAGCAGTTAGAGAATTTAGAAGCTTTTCATGTAACAATCGTTTGAAAGTTAATTTATTAGGGACAGCTTGAATATAGGGAGACAGTACGTTCCAGAGTCGTATAGCCTGAGCGAGAATGAGTTTGAAATAAACCACTTAGAAACTGAAACTAACGTTTCAAATATCCAGATGCACATGGCTCTTTAACGATGGAATAAAGAGTAGAGAGCATCCTCAGATCACGATGCTGGCGAATAGTTTACTATTTTAACTTTTCCTAAAAGAAGAGACATGATCGTACTTCCGAAGACAGAAAATAAAACGTATACGGTTATTGAGTAATCGATCCAATGTATTGATAAGTTCCTGTGTGATATTAGCGTAATCTACAATAGGAAATATGATTGATTGAATTAGGACGATGTTGGAAATAGGAAGGAAATTTTGGAACTTGTAGAAAGACCTAAGGATACCGATGACTTTGCGACTAATACACTCAATCTGTACCTGCCAGTTCATCATGCTGTCGATACAAACTACAACATGAGAAGAAATTGATCTTGGGTAAGTTATAGGGGATGATATTTATATGGAATTTTGCCTCGTAGACAAAGTCGCGGCCAAAATCTGGAAGACTATATTATATATCCGTTCTTAGGAACCATATCACTGATATAACAAGGAAAACTGCATGCATATATTCCAATTAAACTAGTTCTCATTTCGGAAATCAAACCTGGACCTTTTGTAAACTAAAACTCACATTATTTCTAGTTTGACACAGTTTGTATAGATCTTTAGCAGTTATTTTGTAAAATTTGATGTCTAAAATGAAATAAGCAACGATAGAAACAATTTTACGGCGTTTGTAAAATAATTTGAATGTTTGTTCAAAGCAAGTTTAGCGAAGTTCATAATACTATTCATCCAATATCACCAATTCTATGACTGATAAATCTTAACCTTTAAGTATCTTTTATCACGCTTAATTTTTATTAAAGAAAACAACATCACATATAAGATCGAAAGCACATTTTTTGCAGTTGATAAGTATTAAAAATGGGTTATGATTCCCATAAGAATATTATTAATTTACTGACAAAAAAAAACTGTTAAATCTTCGATTTGTTTTTATGTATGTAATAATTTATACGAAAATCATAATATGTAAATAGCGTTATATACTAATTGTTAGTCATTTCAGAAAAGTCAGAAAAGTATTCGGACCGTACGAGAAGGAAATATTTTAGGCGATCTAACTCATTGTTTTCAAAAATGATAATACAAATATTATTTATATTTTAACATTTGCCGAAATATACAGTTTCATAATTTTTGCTTAGACAATGATTAACAACTATACCAACTCTTAACCCCTCAAGATCAAAATGTGTCATAATAACATAGTCATAGTAACCCACGTTCCAAAGGTCAAGTTTATCTCTGTAACTATTAAAATCGAGACAGACAAACAGAGTAGTTTCTCATTTATAAAGTTAGTAGGTATTACTTTATATTTTTTTATACCTATAATTTGATATTTTCCTTTTATTTTATATTTGAAATTTTGGTATGAGCAATTACACGAAGAATTTACGATAAAGTAGTCATCGCTTCAGATAAAAAAGCCACCATATTAGAAAATATAAATGAAATATATTTGTATCCCTAACAACTGTAAAGAACGTTCGCTAACACATAATGATATAAAATAAAAAGTAAAGTAGTAATAATATAAAACATAATCGAATCTAATAAATCTGTTCGTATTAACAATAGCAAATATGTTATCATAACATTTTGTGAGCTCGCAACTAAAATACAAGATTCCATAGATTAATAAAAGAATTCCGATACACTTAAGATTGTATCCTAAAACTTTTTCTAATCAAGTCTTCCTTTGTACACTTCAATTAAAGTTTAATCTACTCTAATTTAATATATTAGCTTCTCTAATTTGGAGAACGGTCTCTACTAATTTCCGTATAAGAGCTCAAGCCAACCTTTCATTATGTTCACTTGGTAGCAATAACCCAAATGGATATTGAAGATTAAAATTGTACATCTGCCAAAACAGACGTCACATCTTTTTTACTCAGTTACCATTTTAAAATTTAATATTAGATATTTTAGGAATAATAAATTTAAGTATTATATAAAGCCGCACAGAAAAATCAAAGCCACCCATTAATTAAGGTAAATATTCAAGTATAAATATCCAAGTCAAATCTACATAAAAGATAAAGTTTTTGGAGATCATCCAGCTAATATTATGCGAATGTTTGTGAATATAATTATTTTGACATAATATTATGTAGCTTTATGTTTATTACTCGCATAATATAATGAACGAATTTGGATTCAATCAGTCGATAGTATAATATTTGTAAGCTTAACCACAACTAAAAGGCTATTTTTATCCTACTAAACAGTTTTCTAAGGATTAAAGTACGTGGGCAAAGTCGCTGGTAGAAAACTAGTAAAACATAAACCTATAGTCTATAAACCTTAAACGTATAATTTAAATAATAACACAAACGAAAAGTTTTCTACGCCTTTATTTATAAAACATATAAATATTTAATAAGATCACTATTCCACTAATAGAAAATACTTTAGCGTTAATAGAAAGACACATTGTTAACAACGTAACAGTAAAAGCTTATATGTTACATTTAGATTTTTTGAAGTGATATAACTCTGTGAATTAATTTTCATTTGACTACATAATGAAGTTTGAAATATTATAAATTATTAAGGTTCTTGATATAAACATATATTTTAATACCTTAATCTTTGAATAGTGCAGTAATATCAAGCAAGACAATTTCATATTACAACATAACACACAATTGTTGCAAATTCAGACTGGACACTATTGATCTATAACATAATTACCCTACTCAATTCTTTTTTTAAAATTACGAAATATGCAAAATATATAACATTTGTCAGTCATAATACGAATAAATAATTTAAAAAAAAAATCGGTCTGTGTATCTCTTATTTACGCATATACTCAAATTATGCTATCATAACTCCATTTTTTTAAAAGATTTGTTGACTATATATTGTTTGGAAACTTTTTGAAAATAATTAAATTAATAACTCACTCTACTAATTGGTCATCTATAATTCATTTCACTTCTACAATAGACCTTGATTAATTAATAATTTCTTAGAAATCCTTTGGGCAAATAAGGCCATTGCGGCGGCTATAAATAATATACTTATAACAACCTATATAGAAATGTAATTAATAAATTAGTTTCTTTTTTTGTTTGAACTAAAATACAATTTATTAATTTTTATACGGTACTAAAAAGCATTAGCATTTAGAATATTAAATTACACCTTTCAGATTGTTCAACTCACTAACTTAAATTCATACATTCTGAATATTGTACATATTACCTGTAACCATATTAATTATAAATTATACTTCCCTAAATTACAGTGACAAAAAAGAACAATTATTTTTTTGCTAAAGTTGAAAAATTAAAGAATTATTCATATTAATTTTCAATTTAACTTTCCCCTTGAATTTTCATTCATTGGGTACTTTATTTCCACATTCTACAAATATTATCTATTAACATGTCAATTCATTATGAACTGATTATCTTTGACATCTGAACTAGCGAGATATTTGTCCAACCATTCTTCTATTACAGGTAGATTCTCTGCAGACCACTTAGCTTCTTCTCGTATATTTTTCATGGATCTTTCTATAATTCTCTCAGCAGTACCAAATTCGCCCTGGTGAGCTACATACAAATTGGTGACTAGATCCAGTCCTGCTTGTGTTGTGAAGTGAGAAGTAGCAGACGTGATAAGGTTGTCCCAGAGATTCGTTTTGTTTGACAATCTGCATTTAATTAATGCGAATATCATTAGCTAGTTAAGATGAAGCAGTAAATTAAAAGACTACACTGCATAGATATTTTAAATTATTCTGTGAATTATCTATCAAGTTTTTTTTTTATTCAAAAAATAAAAGTGCTTGTGAGAACACCGAAAAGAATCGATTCATTGAAAAAATAATAATAAAAAATACGTATACCATACGATATACGATCTCTAACGTTATTAAATTAGATAATAAGAAAAAGTTAAGAACGAGTGTCATTTGAAAATATCCAAAAGGTTTTTTTAATTAATAATTAAAAATATTTTGCGCTTTATTCCACGAATTCTTCATTATCTACTATATTGTATGTTCTATATGTTTACTCATTATTTGGTCTCATTATACTTATAGATCAACAAATTTAAACTTGCATATAAATCGGTTCTAAATTTGAAATTAATATTCAAATGAAATATTTAGTTTACTATTACTCACTTGTCCTTTAGAGCGTCCCAGTTGTCATTCAAGAAGTGAAATAATGTGGTGTACCCTTTCGATCCACCCGAAAGCATGCTAAATATTAAAAAGATATCTGTCTCGGTAAAGTTTCCATTGCCTTCTAGAAGCGTCATATTTAGCAACCTAATAATCTTGCTTTCATCGTTGGGACACCCTGCCAATGTCTTTAAGAGGTAGGTCCTCTCACTCTGTTTCCTTGACGATGGGAAGTGGATAACTCGTTGCAAACCAAATTCCCATTCTTTCTTCGTACCCCATTTAAACACCGGGCATATGTATTGATTGGATATTCTGAAATAAAAACGGACTGTTTTAGCATTTTTATTGGTAAGAGCTGTTAGTTGTGTATCCATCTAATTACCTCGTGTGTTCATAAGTTATGAGACAAACTTTTTACTGAAAAAAGAAAATAAAATGTTACTGGCTTTTATATATTCATTTTATTGGTTTTGAATTTGGAATGTTAACTTTTAGTTCATTTGTATTAGGTACAAATCCATTGTTTGTATTTTCTCGTGATGGAGGGAACAAAACAATAACGTGCAACTGTCATTTCGCTATTTAAGGCGGGAAAAAACCGATGCAGATTTTCCGCGAGCTGCAAAGTTTTCCTGTAAGCATAATTTCGTCAATTACACAATAGAGCGGTAGATACAAGATCGCCAAAGGAGTGGTTGGCCACGCTCTGTGAGGACGCCTGCGAACATTAAAATCGTCAGAGAACGATTTCGCCGTAATTCATATCGCACTCAGAAGAAACTCGCTCTGAAGACTAATATTTCGTGCGTTTCAGTGAACAGAATACTGAAATATGATCTTAAGATAAAGGTCTTTAGCCGTTAAAAAATTCACTTTTTAAACGAACGTCTCCATAAGTTACGACGTGAACGTTGTTCATTGCTGCTGAGGAGCCAGGAAGATATTCTTCACTGACGAGAATATTTTTACTATCGAAGAAAAGTTCAACCGACAAAACAATAAAGTGTGCTTTTAATGTAGTAAGGATGTCCCAGCTTCTGCAAGGAATGTCTCGTGCCCCGGCTAGTGTGATGGTATGGTAAGGAGTTTCGTATAAAGGTGTAACTCAACTCCATTTTTGCCAACAAGGTGTCAAGGTGAAAGCCAAGAATTATCAGAGTGACATTTTAGAACCCATGGTGAAGCCACTGCCTGATACGTTATTTCACAATAAAGATTGGGTTTTTCAACAAGACTCGGCGTCATCCCATTAGGCAAAAAGCACCCAAGCTTGGTTGAGGGAGAATGTGCCAGCGTTCATCGCGGCGGACGCGTGGCCCTTCTCCAGCCCAGACCTCAACCCGCTGAATTATTCTTTATGGACAGAATTAGAGCTCAGGCCTCCGAAAGTCCCACCCAAACTTGGGAGTTACTGAAGCGAACCATTGTCCAAGAAAAGAATTCCGCTAGGAAAGATTCGTGCCGCTATTGAGGACTCGCTAAATCGTCTAAGGGCCTGTATTAAAAAATACATTTTATTGTCGATTATTATCTATTTAATAATTACTGAAAATTAGAAATTAAAAAAGTTACGCAACTTTTATTTCGTCTCAAAACTTATGGACGCACGAGGTATAATTCTGTTTGCCAAACTACACTAAGTTTAGGTTTGATACTATGAAACTGCGTTTGCAATTGTAAAGTAACTAAGATAGCAGAAGTAAACTTAGTGTTGTTGCATCAACTTACTTTAACAAAAACAAATATGTTAAAGTACCGGGTAAGCGAATAATAATGAGTTATCATATAGCAATGGTTGGTTGACGTCATAACTTTAACTGTAAACTATAACCATCTAAATTTCACTGGTTAAAGTTATTGTTTTACTATGGCAAGAAAAAAGATGTTGCAACGCATTCCACAGTCAATGTTGAAGTCAGCGTAACAGACATTGCCAAAATTGACATAAATCTTAACTTAAACGGCGAAAGCGGTGCAACAGAAGTATAATTATATATCTGTGATAACATGCGACTACTGTAGGCACAATGATGGCACACTGGTTAGCGCTCGATAACTGATGAGCAATTTAAAATACATTATTAATAAAACTCAATTAATCTAGTTCAGATCATATAACACAAGTCCTTTACCTGTAAAAATTAATTACAAAAATATTGAAATAGACGAAGTAAATTCAGTACATTTTCTTGGTTAATTAATAAACATCTAAATTGGAAGCAGCATATTGACCATATATGTGACTCGCACGTAGCCGGTTTTTTTATACATGTTTATCTTCCAATTAAAATATTCTAATAAATGAATAAAATAAAATGCGGCTACGTGATAAATAACTAAAAATAATTATAACAATTATGTTCATGAACTAGCTTAAGTCTCATTTTATTATTAGAACTAATAATATATCTTGCTAAGAACAGCAATCAACTATTCTAAGCATAATAATTAGTATTATTTCTTTCTTTCTATTTTTCTAATGCATAAAAATGAGATTCAGACATTCTTAATATTAAAAAAAAACTTTCGAATAACATAGATTCTTGAAAAAATTACTGGATAAAGTTTTCGCGATATTAAAATTATACCATTTATAATCAAGGATTTTTTTAAAGCATTCTGCCGTAGTACTATGTGTACCTGATTTATATCAGTGGGTACTTGAAATATAAAGAAAAAATGATTCAGAACAAGCAACATTATCATTAAGTAAATTAATAGAATGTTTAAATATAGGTACTGATTAAATATTCCCTCATCCTATCCTCTGGTCAATAAAAGTCGTCCGGAATCTATCCCTTCCTGTCAAATAAACTCATGTAAATTTCTCCATTCATTGTCTGTAGGCTATTGTCCTCCTTTTATTCAAACAAGCATTTATAAATTGTAGTGGTTATTTAAATTTTAATTACATTACCTAAAACCAAAGAGGTATAGACTTATAGAAGCAGCGAGTGAAGACGAATACTAAATAAACATAACTGCGACTGACTGGAAAGCACCATCTTTTTTATAAGTTTTATATATTTTTACAATATGTCGTTTTTCCTTTTGATTTTGCTCTATGTTTTTGTCTTTATTATTGTCAATTGTCGTTTACCGTACATTCGCTGTGATTTGTGATTTATTTTTATCTCATTCCCACAAGCAATCAATTACTTTTACGGCCCCGACGTACGTCTTTTATTTTTTTAACTTTCAAAACGATATAAACTTTTTTGCCATGTTTTATGAATTCAAACATCACCATCACATTAATATCGATATAAAATGGAATGAATTTATCATTATAAGAGAGTCTTCGCTACGCCCTTCCATTTCCCATTGTATGTCTAATTTGATATTTTTTCTTTCTAACAATATAAAAACCAACAAAGCACGTGTCCGAGGTTCCGCACCTCTTAATGCAAGACAGAGTGAGTACTTACACAATAAATGTGTAGCTAATCCTGCTATAAACACTGTTTTATATAAATGTAAGTGTTATATACAAAAGAAAAATACTCTAAACAATTGTTTTACATGAAAAAATATTCAAAGTGAGCACCCTTAGCGTTTACACAAGCTTTTAAACGTACCGGCCAGTCGTCAATACTTTTATACGACATCCATAGGAAAGTTGGCCACTGCTCGCTCCAGTGATCTCTTGAGAGATTCCAATCATCGGCTTTGATAAAGTTGGGAACATTATCCGCGAGCCAAGCTTGGGTGGTGCGTGCCTTGTGATCGGGAGCCGAGTCTTGTTGGAACGTCCAGGGAATATTAGGATAGAGTGTGTCGCCTAAAGGTTTCACTACGTCATTTAGGATGGTTTCTTGGTACACCTTTGCAGAAGTTTTCACACCCTTTTCACAGAAATGAAGCTCGGTAACGCCGTGGTAGGACACCTCCCACCAAACCATCACTGACGCGGGGTGGTGGCCTCTCTGGACTCTTTCTATGACTTGGGACGCTTCTTTAGAATTGTGGGCGTAAACACAGTGATTTTGCTTGTTGAAATGTTCTTCAATGGTGAAAATTTTGTCGTCAATACACAAAATGTTCCTGTGCTTTCCACCTGTGTAACGAACGAGCAACTGTTTTGATGTTTCGACCCTTTTCGCCATTAAAGCTCGATTGAAGGTATGTCCGGTAAATCGACGGTAAGCCCTAGGTTTTAGGTCATCTTTAATTATTCGAAACAGAGTCCTAGGCTTGATTTTCATTTCACGGTATAAAATCTTCTGCTTTCTCAAGGGATTTCGTAGAATTCTGGCTCGGACTGCGTTGATAGCCTCGTCTGTAGTTGGTTCGAGCAGAATGCCGACGGCCTGAACTCTTATGGTCATCAATAGAGGAGGTCTCTACGAACCTATTGATGGTACGATACACAAATATCCGACTGATACCTACCTTCAGAGGGGTCTTATAAATCACGGAAGACTCTATTACCACCCTATGCAGTGCAATCACAGCGGTTCTATCTTCTTTATCACCCAACTCCATTTTAAAATATTGAATTTATGACAAAAATCTTGTTGTTTTACAAAGAGTAACTCTTAATAAATAAAATGGCATAGCAGCGTTCCAAATTAGAAATTCAGATATTTAGAAAATCTCTTTTAAAATTGTAATAGAATTTATGGCCAGATTAGGTATAGACAGATAGCTGTCACATTAACTTTGCTCGAAACCTGAGCAAGTTGAGTCGAAATTTCGTAAGACATAAAAGTTGACGAACAAAAGACAAAAACAAACGTGCGAAATAAATATTTTTTATATCTCTACCTACTTTTGAGAGATAAAATATTAACTAAAAATTTCGCTAACTACGTTTGTATATATTTGACATAAGAAACAAGAATTAAACTTCTTGTGTGGAATCTTATATATATTTTATTTAACTCTTGCATAACGTTACATTTCCTTAGTCCAAAAAATATAAACAATGTATAGAGAATCGGCTAGTGTTGTCTAACATTATAATGTTATACAAAAACGTACCACCAGCTTAGTACTAATCTGTGGCAATGTACCCACTGACCTATTTAATTCGTTTAACCAAAGAATCGTGAAAACAGCCAGTGTGCACGTTGGGGACATCAAAGGAAAGGATATGTCTGTGAGCGCGTAAAGAAATTGAAACGGAATAAGCAAACCAACAGCTCTGTATAATCTGATTGGATTATACACATATACCAACATCTATACTAATGTTATAAAGAAGTAGTCTCGAGTTTGTTTATTTATTTGTAGTTTATTTTTTATGAAAATTCGTGTTTATGAAAATTCTTTCACCTACTGGAAGCTACATCAATTCTAAAACAGCTATAATATACAAAAGTTGACAATTATGATTATAACTTTGTTATATGAAAAAAAACTGATTGTTTTTCAGGGTTAGTAGAACGGGGACATCGTTGTCTAATTTTAAAATCAACCCCTTTCAAATCGCCATTTGAAAGATATTCACGAATTTCTGATGGCGATTGCGAACGCGCCGTTTTTTGAAAGCTAATGAATGAATGATATCGTCAAATTAACGTTTATTATGTATATATAAGCAAAGTGATAAATGCTTGAAAGCTATTGAGAAATGTAAGGCCCTATTGAATACTACTACAACCTTTCGGCGGGTTTAGCTTAGGCCATAACCCACCACGTAGGCCCAGTGTTGAGAATTGTACATGCAGTCTCCCGGCTGCAATGGCTTAACGTAACCTCCGAAGTAAGAAAGGGCTCAGGTAAAAAATTTGGTCATGCCATCCTGTGACCGGCCCTATTTTTTTATATTCTAGATAGGCAAGCACTTGACCACAGATCACCTGATGGTAAGCAATGCAGTGGTCTAAGATGGAGCGTGCTTGCCTAGAAGGAACCGATTCACTCTTGACTTGAAGAGTCCTAGATTGTATTTGTCCGGAAACAGCGAGTCCGGTAGCGAATTCCACAGCTTCGCAGTTCGCACGATGAATGTGGAGGCGAATCGCTTGGTGCGAGTTTATGGAATCTCCACAATAAAGCGGTGACGCTTCCCAGTACCCCTGTTAGTACGATAGTGAAACTGGCGAAGGATGCTTAACTTTCGCATCGTAAACCAAACGGGCTGACCGCCATCGTGCTCCTCATTGCTAATGACATGATATAAAGGATAATTAAATGAAAAATAAGTAAGAATGTTTTTATCTAATTCTTACGGATTGCCGTCATCAGGGTTCTTTGCCTGCATCCACTTGCTGTATTGCTCTTGCGCATCCCGTATACAAGGCTTGTATCCTGCTTGGCTGAGGAAGGTCTTTGTCATGGTACGTAGATTTTTGCGCCAATTCTCCTCATCTTCACGCTCGTCTTTTATCTCTTCATACAATGGACCCAATAGAATCCTGACGTAAGCCTGGTTAATAAATATTTTAACTAAATTAATTACATCATCTTATTAGAAATGTCCGTTTGTGACCTAAATTACAACAATGGCAGAACATATTGACCACTAATAAAATAAATCAAATCAACTCTTCACTATTAAGGTACTATTACTCGATTAGGAGGATATATTTGCACTACTGACCTACTCTCAACAAGTACAATACTTTGCATATATTTATAATCAATTCAAACAGAATAGGTAAGGTAGGTTTTTGTACTATAGTCGACACTGACAGCTTGTCATCCGGTTTGTTACCTCGCATTGTACCTTGGAGGATATCCAGGAAGTGCCGACGAAGCCTTTCAATACAGTCCGTGCTTGAAAGTCTTACAAAATCATTTGTGTGATATCTACAGTTGTTCTGTACTTACAGAATATATCAAATTTTTTTTTTGTAGAGAAAATATTTTTTTTATATATATAATTAAAATTAAACTCGTTCACATTAATTACTTTTAACCCTTTAAATACCCTGTTGTAAATGTATTCTTTTAAGATAAAACTTACAAAAAAAGGTTTCACTTACTTGGAATTTACCATGTATGCATTCACAGATGTGATTTCCTAAATGATCGATCATTGTAAATACCGGGTCCCACACAAGATGATTCCTCTCATTTTTAAGGAACAATGTCATATTAAAGGCTGTAGCAAAGGAAAGATCTCCGGCATATGCCAAGTTCCATGCATCGTGAAGAATTTTGGCTCGCGTCAGTTCTGGTATAAGATGACGATTCTTGCTTTGCAGATATTTGGAAAGAAGATTCCAGTTGTGGAGGTCGTAGTTTACTGGGTATGGCGCTGAAAGTGTTTGAAATATTTAATGTAACATGACGGATTTTTTCGTCCTTTACGTAATAAAATTAACAGTACCTATTTCTTCAGGATTTATAATGATGAAATGATTTTTATCAGGCATATTCTCGAGACTAAGTCCTTTCCTATCTCGCATCCAAACAACTGGAGTCGCATTTGTGAAGTCCAGCTTATCTTCACGAATCAAAACTATTGGTGCCCACCAGGACATGCGTTCAGCATCAGGTACATCATGTGGGCGTTCGCGGAGATAAACTTTCTGAAATAAACAGAAACTTGACATATATGATAACGCCGATTGTGATTATTCAACAAACCGACTGCAATTCAGTTAGTTATTCTGAATACTCCAGACATTTATTAGATAGTCTTACTTGAATATAATATGCAAATTTAAACCTGCACATTTCACATGATATAAAATTACCATAAATTGTGAATATTCTCATGAGTCACGGACAGCTTATAATAAGACATTTTTAGAATGAAAGCAACCATACAAACTATTATTCAATGTATCTACTATTAAGCGGATCCCAGCAATTAAATCATTATGATACAGATTAAGCATTTGTTTCAAATTGTTTAACTACTACAATGAATTCTCAACGTAAAATGGATAACTAACCTGCCGTAACAAAATCTTGGCATTGTTATAATTTCTCTCTACTGTGACCACCGGAAGACGATCCTTGTCGATCCAGGAATTAGCAATAGTCTTGATGTTAGTGTCCTTCGGTATCTTTCCGTCGGTGACAGCAGCAGTGTTGAGAGCGTTCCAAATGTCATCACCAGTAAAGGTTTTGAATTTTCTGCGGGTTATAGTAACAAAGAAAAATTTGATGAAAATAATGTCACACTTTTTGATAACATAATATGTTTGTGCCCACTGCTGGAGAACAGGTCTTCCCTAAGAATGGAATTAAATCTAATAGGGGGAACAGGTTCACCACGCGTACTGAGTGCGAATTGGTATGCGCTAACGCCAACTGTTATCAGTGCTTGGTAAGGCACCAGTATCATGAATAACCAAACACGGAAGAGATCGACGTAATAAAAATTTGATCACCCGTCTTATGACTGCCCTTACGACAGTTGCTTAACCTCAGCAGCACAGACCGAATATGCTAACCACAGAGCCATCAATTTCAATCTGATATTGAGTCAAAACCACTTAAGCAATAGACAGAGACACCTTAGTGAGGTGGGAAACCAAACATAGACATTAAGGACATAAAGCTTTTCTTATACAATATCACTGTTTTAGATTAATTCATAATTTATTAAATAAGCTTTTGAAAATCTTTAGAAATAACAAAATATCACCTGGACTCAATGAAGGTCCGTAATCCCTTCTTGAAGGTGTCTCCGCCAAGCGTATAATTGAACATGCGGAACAGTAGCTCAATCTTAGTGCAAGCTGTCTCTTGCTTCATGCCTGTGATACGGGAATGCGGGTAGCGCTTACTAAACTCGTAGTAAATCGAATACAACACCGTCATGGGCCACTTTCCTTCCATCTCAGAGCCATTGTTTATCTAATGATAAAACATAAGGGTTAACTGACTGTAATAATATTTATAAAAGTATTCTTCAACTAAGTAAGTCAACACACGTATCTCATTAGACACGTTATGCAAAAAAGAGGCAAAAACTTATAAGATTTTTTCTCCTTTAAACAACCTTTTTTATGGATAAAACAACGTTTGTGTCATATCACTTCTTAGTTTTACTATGTAGTTTGTGCTATAGGTTTCTCAGCAAGAATATCCACTATTTATACTCGCGATTATAATTTTATATAACATAGATCACTAGATTTTTTTAAAATTACGAAATATAGCTATCCTTACTAGGCTAATCTCAGATCAATATGCATATTTTCATAGCCCAACATCAGTATTTTACATTGAATTGAAATTTGATTATTTTAGTTCATGTTTTCAATAGTTCATTAACTACAAAAAAAATATTAAGGAAAAATCTTTTGACGTTATTAATTAGAAAGGGTTGTCATACCTTAAAAGCAGTTTCTGCAGCCAAATAACCGACCAAAGCCTTATTCAAATGCGCATCTGACCACCAAGCTGGCGTCGCTAAGGCTCCCAACCATTGGTATGATATTTCTTGAGCTAGTTGCAAATAACCTCTACTGCTTAAATCACTCTCCCTAAAATTTGTAAATTATTTTTTATATTTCTTATTTTTTTTATTTGTACTGATATCAGCTTTATAATATATTTATTTATTATTTACTAGTATCTACTATAATGATCCAAATAAATCCACACGTTCTATACTTAAGCACTTCTCTCGATGATGACCTCACATTAGTTAGCTTTGCATTAAATCATTTTCGCTATCGTTTAGTTAAGCTCGTAAAAGACGATGAAGATAATATAATACTTTCATAATTAATCTAAGATTACATAATAACTATTTGGTATATTAAGATGCTAAGCGATACGGAAATATATATTTATTAAGGATTTCGAAATATTATCGTACCGTGTGTGAATAGCTTAAATGTTAAAATGTGTTATCATAAAACATCTTATCATGAGAAATATAATAGCATATTAATCGTCGTCATGAGCTTTAAGCTCGTTCTACCATTGAACTACGGCAGTGTTGTAATTAAAATTATATTAAAAACCAAATCTAACCTCAGCCTAGTGAAGCTTAGTTTATCTATCAGACTTGACTTCATATTGTAAAGAGTCTTACACGTATTATAATAAAAAAGGCCCTGTAAGTGCGGAAATTGAATAAATTTACCAAATGTCCGCTTACTCGACGTCAATTGCTATTTTGAAGACGAGATAAAGGAAATTGTGTTAGAATAAAGTTAACAATAACATTGAACCTTTGCAAACATATTTTTATAAGGAACTGTAATATATGTATACTCAAAACATAAATAATCCATAAGAAAACTTGAAAAGGATTTTTCGTAGACTTTGCATTTCTATGTAAATATTTATGTAAATTGAAAAAAAAAATGTTTAAGTACTCAAATGGAAATAGACTGCCGTAATACAACCTAATTTCCTTATCTTTCACCTTGAGTGTGTTAAACACTTTGATAGTACAGACATATTTATCGCCGAACCTTGACCCTATAAATTAACATAGATAAATTCTTGACGAAGATAACCCAAACACCATGTAAGGAGGCACTTCAGAATACTAAAAGACTAGTGATGTCACTAATAGAATACAAATGAAATAGAAATTTCAAGTGCTAAAATAATCATTATTACCAGTAAAAAATTACTCAACATCCTACAACTTTCTGGGGCAGACACCTTGTAATTAGACACAAGAGAAACATCGAACCGAAAGCGTCACACGAAATTAACCAAAACAAAAAGCAACCCATTAACAAATCGCAATAGTGATATAGTAAATAATAAAATCCTTATAACTTATTACAATTCTTTACAAATTCTGTATCCCTATTCCAAAAGATCACTACAGTTTTAAGAACCAACCGTATGAATAGCATTCAAGAGTTTTACTTATATTTATACTCGTTATCGTTCCGAACGATTTTCTTAGTCAAACATATAAAGAAGTTTACATTCTTACCCTGCAACGTTAGGTCAAGCTGAACAAACAAATCGATATACTCAAACTGAACTGGGCTTATACAGATTACGGACCCAATATGCATGTTTAAGCCGGCAATATAATTCACGAACCTACTTTCCATGTGTTTGCAATTTGGCATTATTTTGTCATTCATAGCTAGTGGCTTTACTACGATAAATATTTGTTCCTGTTTTGCATCATTCCACCATTAATCTTGGAAATTATGTGCCCGGTAACAAATTCGAGTCTGACTTAACAAATTAAGTATATATTATTGATTAGAAACACTTACTTAAACACGAGGAGACCCCAATTATCTGCTGGTTTAACTCCTTGGTAATTTGGCAGAGCCACGACGTCTAACTTCTTGAGTGGAAGAGGCACATGCCAAAGACTCGATATCTCGCCAAATACTCGGGAAACCTTCTCATTCATCCCTTCCAAAGCCTGAAGGAATTCTGGCCGACCCCAAACGCGAAGTTCTGTGTAAAATCATATTAAATAGAATCAAGCATTATTTTGCAAGTCCATTGCTATAATAAGGGTGGATGTATCGGATTCCAATATCGATATCGATGGTCAACATAAATAATATTTTTAAACTCACACGATTTGTATACATTATAATTATATGCAATCGGGTCTTGTTCGTGCATTTTTTTAAAACAATTATTTACCTCGACGTTTCGGCTACGTTACAGCAGCCGTGGTCACGAGGAGACTGGAGAACTGGCGGGTGTCGTCTTCTGATTTTAGTTGAGGGTAATCCGGTAATAATGTTTTTAACTGATTTTCAGATGTACCCTCCACTTGATTTTATTATACGTAAAGGTGGCGACACACTGCACTTACGGTATCCGAGAATATTGTTCGTGGTTGTTTGCGATCGCGACACTTATACATTTTTATAACCGGATTCCACGTTGGTGAGAGTTTATATCCACTTTCCCGGTTGAAATTGTTGTGTTTTTTGATTTCAACCGCTTCACGAACAATCCTTGGATAGTAATGTCGTTCAGTGGAAAGGACATGAGGTGTATGTAACTCGATCCAGTGGTTTGATCCAGATGATAATAAGTGCTCTGCAATCGCGGACTTCTCCACTTGACGATTTTTGACCGCTGCTATGTGTTCTCTTACACGTTCGGCGATAGTCCGCTTCGTTTGTCCGATATATGAACTACCGCAGCTGCAGTCAATTTTATAAACGCCAGGTTTTTGGTAAGGAATACTATCCTTTGGTGATCGCAATTGGTGTGACATTTTTGATAAAGGAGTAAAAATGGTGTCTATAGAAAAATTTTTCCTCAAAATGGAACCAATTTTGTCCGTTACCCCCTTAACATAGCCTAAAAATGCCCGTTGCCTGGGAACCTTAGGTAGTCTTTCCTTACACCTTCGGATAGGGTATGACCCCCTTGCGCTGTATCCATTTTTCCTTAGCACGTCCTGTACATGGGACAACTCATCTGCTAAGAAGTCAGTATTACATAATGCGTTAGCCCTGTTAATAAGAGTTGTCTCCACAGAACGTAGGTGTTGAGGATGATGATGAGATGAAGCGTGGAGGTACTTGTCTGTGTGTGTTGGTTTCCTGTAGACAGTGTGTTTCAGGGACCCATCAGCTTGCGCCATGACTTTAACGTCCAGAAAGGGTAAGGTTGTTTTAAAAAAATGCACGAACAAGACCCGATTGCATATAATTATAATGGTCAACATAAATGTCAAAAAAACTTACACTTTAGCGCTCAGAATTTCTGATTATTTTAATGTTATAATCGCATAACAATATAAATTTTAACTACTTGCATTTTGCAATTGTAATATCTACCTGAAGTATAATATTTAGATATGAGTGCAATGTCTTTCTCATAAATCATAAGTGACAGATACATATATTTGTTATTTTATGATTTAGTTAGAAGAACTGTCTGGGTGAAGGATTACAGTTGAAGCGCTTATGACTTTCCAGAATTACGATAATGTTAGCAGAATTGTACTGCTGAGCAACGTCCAGGAACACATCACTGACGACACAAAGGCATTTCTGATTGAACTATGAGTAAATCCATGCACCTGTCATTCTTCAGCAAAAAAAAAAGGACACGCTAAATAGATGAAATAAACGAAACAGAAGAAGAAGATAAATATTTCGATAATAAGTTGCAATCTGTCACATTTTTACACTATTTATTTCCGCATATAGTGATGCAACCTGCATGTAAATGATGAAACACCCCCTCAGTCTTTTTTGTTTTAAATTGAAACGAACACAACAAATTTTTAAAGCAACGCTACTATAATTTAACATATAACGGAAAGTTGGCATAGATATTCTGTATATTATATATTCTTTGGTAAAGAAAATTAAGCTAACTGCAAAGGTCTTGCCAGAGTACAAAAACTAATCCTTTTAATGGTCCGATTACTACTTCATCGTGAGCGTTCTTACCTAAAGAAACCATAAAATTACCAAACCTATTATACCTATGTCCCTAAAATTGCCTCAAACGGAGTATCGTCAAAGTTTCTAGATTAATTAACTCCCGACGTCTTTTGAGCGAAACTCTCAGTAGAATTAAGATATTATATTATAAACGGCTCTGGTACCTCTAGAACGGTTCCATACAAAATCCAGCTAATGGACTTCCGAAAATGACCACAATAACTAATCCATAGTATCAATATCATTAATCTTCCTTAATCTTTGATGTAAGTTTAGAAGATTTAATTGGATTTGCAATGAGTTATCGAAGTAATTTCAATATATTTGACTCTATATATCGATATTATAGACTCTATAGCTTGCTCAGTTTTCTAGTCGGAATAAAAAGCAATGTACCCAAACAAAAAATCATTCTGAGTAAAAAGGTATTCTAGTGTAGCTAATATTACAATGTGTAGAAAATAATAAAAGAAATATGAAACTGATATGAGTTATAAAGGAAATAGCCTAGGTATGAGAATATCGGTAACCGGTAACGACCTAATTTATCGTATAAAATACCATAATAAAAGGCTATAATGGCCGCAACACTTATATAACGCAACGTGACGCGTGTTGAGTTGAATCATAACGTATTATTTCTTATAATCTAATGAACACTCGGCACGACTTCATACAATCACGACTCCATACAATTTTCGCATTCGATAGAATCGGGTTTTAAAAGTGTCCTGGCCATTATAGCACAATAAAATTACCATAAAAAGGGGGTAAATTGCAGAATGAGAGATGATAATCTAAAAATCATATCTTAAAGTTGTCTCATAAAAATCACGTGTCTACATTGTGATTAATTCAATGTCAAAAAGTTAGTTTCTATTATTCTAACGATGATTTCATCTTTAAACAAATGAAGAGAATTACAACTATTGTTTTAATAATATTTTTGAGCGGTCAACCGCAACGGTTTCGAGTTGAGCTGAGAGTACAACAATGAACTTTGGTAAATAATGCCTTGGAAAATGTCTTTGATTATTCATTTTAAACTATTAATTTATCATAAAAAATATATACATACAAGTTTTCAGATTTTTGTCTTTCATTCTGAGGTAAAACGCTAATTTGCTTAGTTATTACAGTTTACTTTGTTACCAGCTTTGCTTATCTGTACATAAACCTGCGTCGACCACAACGACGTCGCATCATAGTAATTCAAATAAATAAAACCTTATTTATAACCTTTTGCTTTTTTTTCAGAAAAACCAGAACTGGTATTAAATCAAACAAAATAAAGTTGACTGTCTTTTTGTAACCATGCCGAATTACACGATTGAGTGCATAGAAATAAGAATAAATTAACAAATACTTTTTTTAATAATCTACTGACAAGAAGCATCTAAAATATCCTTTTCGAACGACAAGTTTTATACAACAATGACAGAAAGTCACTCCATTCCAACTGCACCATATTGCAACAAAATTAAATAAGTTTTCGCTTTTTGTTTTTCTATACTTCAGATTGCTGTCCAGTGAATAATATTACGTAAGCTCACCTAAATCATTCCCGTGGTCGTCCTTGTAGTGGGTAGATTCACCTAGCTGTTTGAGGTCAGCAATCACAAGACCCAGTGTAAACGTTGACAACGGAGGAGTCCGCTCAAAGTGATCCCATACAGCATTTGGCTCTCCCGTACTGCAGGAAAAACAACTTACAATGCATACCTCATCCACGCACGCATTCTACAAAACTATGCATTATAGTTTCAATTATAATAGGATAATAGTAATTAAAACATATTATTTAGTCCTCAGTCTAAAAGTGGCAACTCGTACCTATTGCTTTAATAAGAAAAAAAAAATTAACAGACATTTTCAGTAAATTTTAATGCAAAAAAGGAGCGAGATTATGCTGTCACGCCTTTTATATCAGTTTAAGTAACGCAGACATAATCATAAGCACTAAAAAATCATCATCATCTACATGAAGAATACAAAATTAATGTTGAATCACAAATTTTATAAATCTTTTCGATCACAGTTTAAATTATTATATTTTGATTAATTTTGTAGCGAAAAGTAACAAGTGCTTGAAAGATTCGTCAGTCCTGTTAGGTCCTGGGTAGCTCAGTGGTTAGAGCAGTCGCCCGGATTGCGAAAGGTCGTGGGTTTGATTCCCATCTCAGGGTGCCAGGGATCAAGTGGAGTTTTTAAGCATTTTGTATTAAAAATACTACAGTTTAAAGCTGTGATACTTACCCTAAGTTAATTTAATTTTTAACATTAAGATTAGAATGATTACTAACATGTACCTTTTTCTGTTTGCCAATAGTAACCTCCCGCAAGATTCCAATTACTCCGTGATCGTGGCATTTACAACAGCGCAGTAATATCGGGAACTTGATGAAAATAAAATACACAGTAGTAAACCCGTGATTAAAATTCATTCTTAACTACTTACATATCTTCAGTCCTAGCAACAGGCGTGTTACTGAGCGCTATCATGTTCTTGGGCCGTACGACACTAAGTTCGAACGGTGTTTTGTATGCAGGCTCATCGAAACACGGAAACATGCGGCGAGCGTTATTTGGCCGCAGTTGGGTCGCAGCAACTAATCTATAACAAGATTTTTTTCGTAAATTTAGAACCTGAGCCTACTCTTTATCCACGAAAGACGGAAAATTTTGAAACACTCTTATTGGAAGATTATCTGTGCATCAAAGGCAGTGTCGGGTCCAAACCCCGTTACATCATAAATTTATCGAATAATGCGTTTACTTGAAGTCGTATTAGCGTTTCGAAAATAGACTGAATTTTGTTTTCGGGAGATGGAACCTCCTTTTCTGGATATTTTTAAAAGAAATAGATATCAAAATTATTTGTTCATATCACTTACAATCAAACAAAGAGAGCAGCTTCTCAACTTTTAAGTAACTTCCAATGGAAAGTAGAAAAAGGTTTCATAAAAAGAAACATTACATATTGAGGTATTTTTATAATCATGTTCTTCGATGCCTGCGTCCATTGTTTATCGATTTCAGTGAATCCTATATCGTGGAATAAGGTGTACATAGTAGTACTATAAAGTTACAGAGCAGAAGGCCTATCTCAGAGAGGGCAAGCCATGCAATTTTAAAAAGTATACCTACATACATTTATAGGTATACCTTTGTAGGACCACCATGTATATTTTAAATTGAAATATTGCTTCTGAAATGGGCGCTTCAGCGCAAACTGCTAAACCCATACGCATCATGAACTAAAGCTCTTCCAAATCTTGGATGTAAAGTTTAATGCTTTGTAATTCGTAAAATAAAAGCATGCAAACTGCTTACAAACAAAAGAATGCAAATATAAAATAATAATAAATACTTTTTACAGCATCACAAAAGAATGAGGAATTTTACTACGGGCGTAGTTCAATTTTACTTCCGAATCGTATTGTAGAATCGGATATTACCAGCAAATGTTTGAACTACATTCTTTATAGGGCCGTATCCGTGCAGCAATTCCGAGAATTTCCGTCTGTGATTGTAAGAGCGTTCGAACTAGATTTTTATACGGAACAACATGATTTTATTTCTCTGAACAGATTAAAGAATAAGATATCTCGAAAGAAATGCAAACTAATGTCTCCGTATGCATAAAGTTATAGACTTCAATAAACAAATAAGAATTGTGCTATCTCCTTAAAAAAACTGCGCGAGTCTGAATTGTGCATTAAGAATTCCGTACAATAATTTTGAAGCTCTTTTTTACTTAGAAAAAAACTAAGTAAGAGAACAAATTAACTTTGCCGTTGGAAAACTATTGTCTCCATACATTAGCATCGAGTTAGTTTACATTCAGTTTATAAACTATTAATAAATTTTATGATCACGACAATTTTTAGTTTTGGATTTTTCCATTTCCCAAAATAGACCTGATTTGAAGCTTTATCAATACAAACGACCAGTCAGACACGTCAGGACAACAGTCAATTAAAATCAGTCAAATACATACAACCCTGAAATTAAAGTAGTACTTTGATACATTTACAATATTATAGTTAATAGGCGAATGGAAAATGTTAATAATAAAAATTAATGCTACACATCAATCATTCACACCCAAGTCTAAACAAGTGAGTAGTTTAATATAACGATTGATTCATGAATGAAATATATTCTTTCTAATTATATATAAAATATTTGAAAGGCTTTATTATTATATGTAATCGGGTCTTGTACGTGCATTTTTTTAAGCTATTAATTTACCTCGACGTTTCGGCTACGTTACAGCAGCCGTGGGCCATATAATAATAATGTATACAAATCGTGTGAGTTTAAAAATATTATTTAAAAGGCTTATTTAAAAGTCACTAAATTAGAATGACTTTTACCCACAGCAACATCCGTCTAAAGTTAAATATCACGGCTAATACTCATTGCAATTAGAACTCATATGCACTCACAATCGAAGGTGAAGGTAAACGTAAAAAAACAAACGATACGGTATACATAGACTTTTGTGTCATTTATAACAATATAGTTTTTCTGTAAATTGGCTAAATTATGCCAATGTAATTAAGGTAAGACTGGATAGATCCTTCTTCTGGGGATGATGGGAAGATATCCTCATACTCAGTACTCAGCAGTAAATTTAATACAGGCTTTGTTTTAATAATTACAAACTCTCTCAGGCCCTCCAATATCGCAAAAATATCGTTTTAGTTTTTTTAATTATATCCTAAGAAATTTATGCAATTCAATTACATATTGCTCAATTTTTGCTGCATATTATGAGTAAAAAAATATCCGAAGAAGTGCGGCATCTCGTCAATCGCGAAAAATCAGAACTGACAAAAATATGATGAACCTTGCACACTTCCGTAAGATATTTGACGGATCATCCGTCAGATTACACAGGCTACGTCTCAGGCCACCTCTCTCCAGGCTGGATTGAGATTGATAATAAGCCCATTAATGTTATAAAAATGATTTTTCGTAAATATATCGTAAATAAATGTCACTGACAACTTGCCAACTGTGATATTCCTATTCAAATAAATAAGGCAAGCTTTTAAAATGTTCATACCTCTCTACCTCCTGTTCAGTGTAAGTGGTCTTAAAGAATGCTTCAGTAGTGGTGGTCTCCAAGTTGCCATTAAAGCTTATATCCAGTTGTCCAACAGACTCGGCCGGGACCGATTTCTCCAAATATATCGTCACCAACGGCTTCTTTAAGTCAGTTACCACTTTTCTCACCGGTATCTTTTGGAGGTCTTTTCTGTAAACAATATTGTTAACGTGATAAATATTCTTTGTAAATCGTAATTCATTCATATGCACTTTATTCAGATATTAACATTTTGAAGAATCTAATTTTGACGGAAAATTTCCTTCTAATCAAATAATAAATATATTACTATTAACTGTTTCTATACATAACTGTATTATGAAGAATAAACATATACTATTTATATTACCTATATTGAAATTAAATATTTAGCATGTAATTTAAATTGACAAGAACAGTTGGCGCAACGCGGGTAACGGAAACGGCATTACTTACATGACAGTTCTAATATTACATCATGAAATAATTAGCTAGTATTTTTTGTTTTAAAGTAAATTGTGTGTATAGTATTTACAATACTACCTTTCAATTTATTATCTGTGGATAGCAAGGACAAGGATCATCATGTAAGGTCATATTTAAATAAACTAAACGTCAACGTCTTTGTTGCCAGTGCAACTAGCACGCGTAGCATGACAAACTCAAGAAACGCTTTGTCTACACCAAAATATCAATTTCTCGGGTCGAGAGTGAGATATCACATGGGTGCACCATGTGATATCTCACTCTCGACCTCATAGTAATATTCTTTAGTTATTATTCTGAGGGTGCATCCGAGAAAAGTGACATTTGGGTGTAGATAAAACGTCCTCGATTTCACTCATTTTTATTGAAATTCGACGTCACTGCTCGATTAGGGATGTGTGTGACATTTTTTTTTTGTTTTTCGGTCGGCTAGATTATTGAAGAATATGAAACAAGTATTTTTTAATTTTATCCGTAATCAATAAATTACAGGGATACCAATGAGTTGAAATGCAGCATGACGTCACACCTATGTACATTTTCTTCATAGTTGTGACGTAGTGAGCCCCCACTCCTCAACTTTAATGCCTATTATCTAAGCCACTTTTTGTTAAATTGGAGCAAAAAATATATCAATCTATTTTTTTTCTATTACCTGATTGAATGACTAAATAGAATTTAATTGTTTTTCCTATTCACACGTCAAAATTACATTCCAATTTATAATCTGTGGATTACAGGAATTAGGATCATAATTTAAAGTCGCATTCAATAAATTATACGTCAACTTGTTGCAAGTATTTGTTATGAGGGCAACCAGTTTATTTAAATGTGACGTCACTACTCGAATTATCACGGCGGTGATAAGTTTACAGGATAATTTAAATTAAAGAATAAAAATATGGTTTTCCTTAATTTTGTAGTAACACAGTTTAGGGAAAAACAATATTATGGGGGTTTAACATGATCATATTGGTCTAGTAAATAAATATATCTACCCATAAAAACAAAGATATCCAAACATTAATGGAATGAAAATAAAGCGATAAAAGTAATTACACTTCTAGAAACCTTCTCGGTTTTCTCCACACCTATATCGATAATTAAGATAAGTTCTTCTAATATGTTCATAATAACACCAAGCAATGGCTACGTATAAATTTGAAGACCATTATTTTATAGGTTTGGAAAATTAGTCATGTCGATATAAATTATTCAATCAAAAGTTGACTTCATTTGTATAGTCTATACAATAGATTTTTCTTATGCAACCAATTATGTTTCTGAAAACTAGATGGCGCAACGGTTAACACGTTCGGTCTGCGATGCGGAAGTCAAACAAATTTTTAAAGGACCGGTCATGGGATGGGTAACCAAAATTTTACTACCCCGATCTCCTCTGTGCTTCGGAAGTCACTTTAAGCTGTATGTGCATACAACCGGGATCAACAACAACTGCGGAGTCGTTAACACGAGCTAACATGAATTAGTTGAGCATGGCGGATCATGGCCCATTCTCCCTATTTGATTCCATGCATAGGGAATGTTTGTGCCCAGTAGTAAGGAAATTAATAGGCTAATGATGATGTTAAGTACGATACTATTTAGATACTCACGCGTTTGCTGGAATGCGCGCCTTGACGTCAGTATTAGTGATCTCCAACTCATGTGCACTGTGTATATTAATCTCATCCGATTCTTTGCCCCAGGTTATGTTGATGCTGACGTGTCCTTTAAATAGACAATCTTCCAAGTAAGGCTCCAGTTCTAACCTATAGCCGGTTGGGAATACCGCTTTATCCAATCGAGTCTCCATCGTAAGGCCATGAGCGTTGTTCAAGTCGATACTTCTTGCCCTAATGATGTGTGTTGCTGGGAGCTGGTGAATAAATCATACCAAATCAACAGAACTGAAACTTAAAGAAGAAAGAGACAAACGATGCGAATTGTTTACAAAACTTACTACTAAATGTAAAATCCCAACTTTTGTATACCTTGATAGCAAATTGATTATTATTTTATAAAAATTGAACACATTACAAAAATAAACCAAATCGGTATCATTGTGTTCGAGGGGTAATTTTGTAACAATTATTTTACCGAGAAAAAAATATCTTTAATTAAAAACATTCTGTAATTTTCTCATATTTTACTCCTCCATATTGAAGAGTCGTTTCTTTGTATGAAATAAATGCATCCGGCTACAATAATACAGTGACATTCGTATTTCCTACAAAAAATATTTTAATCTCAAATTTATTCTTTGCTTCTCTTATATTTTCACTTTTAATAGTAATATTTACAGAATTAATAATAGTAATATTATATTTTAAGGTAAATTACAAATAATATGCTTATGTTCTAATATTTATTATTATAATGTGTATCGTTATTAACTATAAAAATATATCCGGAGCCGAAAGACTAAAGTTAGTAACAAAATTAATTATATTATTAAGTAACAACTACGATCAATTTAAACGGCGCAATTTTTAATTTAAAGTAATAATGTGTGTATTAAAATATACTAAACCCCTTTTTTAATTAATCGTATAATTCCCTGTAATACATATATTACGTAATTTGTATTAAAATATATTTAACCCCTTTTTAAACAGACGTATAATTCCCCGTAATACATATATAACATAAATTACAAAACTACGTAATCATCTAGATTTCGTTCAATTTAAAAACATACCTAAATGAAACAACAATTCGTCACGTTATTGGCTTCTTATCGGCCCATAACATTGCATTCTAGCAATAGCGTAAATGATCCATAAACATTTTGCCCTACTCTTACTCGTATGATTTATACACGATGGACTAAATAAAATATTGGTACCGAAACATCGATATATTAAAAAGCAGTATATTTTTCAGCAAAAGAAGATACAAAACGCCCCCATTTTTATATTGGAAACAGAACAAGACCAAAGGACATGAGAACAATATATCTAAAAAATATATTAATAATATAATTTATCAGCTTTAATAGTCATTGATAGTTTTTGCGGGATTGCTAGCATGTACCTTATTTTTGTTGTTAGTAATCAGTTACTCCGTGATCACGGCACTAGCAACAACTCCGAAATATTGGGAACTCAACAAAAAGAACACATGGTACGAGTAGTAATCCCGCAAAAAACTATAATTCTAATATATTTATAACCGATATGTAATTTTGACATAATCAACATTGTTATATTTGTTTAATTTTGCATTTACAATACTACTAGCTTTCTGCCAGTAGCCTCGCCCGCGTGTACTTATATTATACATAAAAACCTTCCTTTTGAATAACCTTATCTATGAAAAAAATCTGCATCAAAATCCGTTGCGTAGTTATAAAAATTTAATCATACATAGGAATATAGGGACAGAGAAAGCGACTTTAAAACAAAGTCAACTGTACTACTACTAGTACTAAGATACTGAAAAATATTCTTAGTGAAAAATGCTTAAAAAAACAACTTTGTCCCTGGCACTCTGAAATGGGACTCGAACTGAATGGGACTTTGTGAATGCAATATTGATCAAATATAATAATAAGAACATTTTCGTCTTTATCGAAAATTTAAATATTTGTAAAAATATTTCTTTCTGCTGTTTGGGTGGATTGCCTGAACATTGATGAAAAATACGATCTTTGGTAACGGAAAAGTAACAAGTGCTTGAAGGATTCGTCAGTCCTGTTATGTCCTGGCTAACTCAGTGGTTAGAGAAGTCGCCCGGACTGCGAAAGGTCATGGGTTCGAGTCCCACTTTAGAGTGTCAGAGACAAAGTGGATTTTAAGCGTTACTCACTTATAATCTACATTAAATTAAAGTGGTGGAGCAAATCAATTTCAAAATATCGGGCCTAGTTTTCGAGAAAGTTAAGCTCCAGTGCATAATAACAACATATTTTAACGTGTAAACTCATTTAAAATAACATGGCATGTGCGGGCCTATTCTATTTGTCCTCAAACGAAAATTGGGAAAATTTAGAATCGTTCTTATATTTTCTTAAAATCATATCCGTGAAGATTAATCTGTGCATCGGAGGCAGTTTCAGGTCCTACCTCAGTTACATCATAAATTAACGTCAAATACTTTTCTTTGAATTCGTATTAGCATTTCGAAAATACAAGAAATTTCATTTTCGATGAAATAGAATAAGCCTTTAGGTGTCCTGTTAAATGTTATGAGTAGATTTGTCGTAAGTGTGAACCTAAGGTAACATATTTTAACAAACCTTATCCGGGGGGAGAGCGTGCACGCATACGCACGCGGCCATGAACCCAACGGCAAACATCCTGTAGTCCATTCTTTGATCCTAAGGAAAAAGGGATCCATGTTTACAATTAATGAAAATTACTCCAATATATATTAACATATAACTTAACGCTTTTTTTCAACTAGGTCTATTAGTAAATGAAGTTCAAACGATCAAATTCCAACACATAATTCAAATCATCACAGAAAATAATAGCGCTAACTCTGTAGTTTAATAGTTTCTGATCCCTTTTGGTCTAGAAATGTATAAAACATATTTATTTGCCATTTACAACAATCTAAAAGTCTACCACTCATTTTTAAGAATTATTTGAGGCATTATAAAACTCACTCAAAAGACATACAATTTTTATTTTTAAGCGACAAAAAACAGTGCCACTTATGTTTTTACAGAGTACTAAGATTTTAATTTTTTTTTTTATTATTATTGAAGAGCACATAACGGAATAGTGGCCTTAAGAAAAATATGGAAATCATTTTTAGTTTTTATATAAAAATAACTTTATATCTTTTTAGATATCACCGAAATATTATAAAAAAAACTTCAACTGCTTTTAATGTAGATTTATTTTTCACTTTTTAAGGTTCGTGTGCGGTCACATTTAAGTTTAATTTGAAAATATAAGTTTTGCAATCTAGGCATATATATTATGCCACTTATCAAATGAAAGGAGGTGAGGATCACATTTCTTTATATATATTTGAAATAAATAGTTTTGAAATTATAGAAAGTAGACAAAAACATTACCATTCCCTTTTATATTCTTTCAGAAACCATTGGCTCTAAAATGTAAAAGTGTATAAAATGGTTCTATATGTATAGAATACAAAAATCCAAAAATCTATTGGAACCCATTTTAAATTAATATGTAACACTCTGCGCACCAGTCTATAGAGTTTGGTTGTTTTTTTTTTAATTTTACCAAATACATTGTATTATCTGTACTAAAAAAAAACCATTCATTTTTTTTTGGATTTTAAGTCTTGTGTCATTAGGCTAAGTCCTTTGCAAGTAAATTTTAACAACTATACCGTACGCTTTAGCGATCTATTACCACTAATAGGTATTAAGCACAGTTTCTTACAAGTAGTTTCTTTAATTATTCCTAAATTGCTGTCGTCCTGTTGTTTTATATGTTCATTAAATGTTCATAAAATTAGTAAATGAAAAAAAAACTATAGGTATTTAAAATAACAAGAAATTTAGAATAAATGTTTATTAACAAAAATCATAGTATTTGCCTCAGAGACTCAATCATTAACAAGTAATAAGTTCTTTCAATCGAAGAATAATTCGTTTTATTTATGATTTAACACTGACAGATTTCTCATAAACAAATCGTATCACGATGTCTTAATGTATTACGTACTGTCAAGTATAATATATATTTATTTATCTTAACAACAGAGGCACCTACCCACTTTTAAAATTAAACAAACAGTGATTATAAATCAATGACAGAAGCTATTCACTATCAGTTCCCTGAGTTTACTAATCCGGGGGTACTACTCCAAAACATTAATATGCCTTAGCTAGTTTAATCTGGCAATATTGATTACAGTTTTATAATGTAGGTATTATGTCGTAGGTTCCTGTAAACACCCTAACTCAATATTACCTTACCATTTTATTAAATATGAATATTACCCAAATGCAGTAATAAAAAACTCAGGGATAAACGATAAAAAAATAAGCTTTATTTTGTTTGTTCACGTTATATTTAATAGTAGTTTATGCAACTGGTTAGAGAGGGTATTAAAGTACTCTTTCTTACATAAGAAAGGGTATTAAAACACGAGAGTCTGTATATATGCAGTTTCATACACTACTTCATCTTCACTCATAGGAAAAATTGCATATGTATGGAATCGTCTTTGAATTCGTAATTCGATTTTTTTTTAAATTTGAGTGTAGATAAAATTAGTTATTCGCTCTAGACGCCCATTATGAATAGGCATTGTGTAGTTAAATAATTTTTCATCTTTTTTACTCAAATTAAATGACACTGGAATGACATAAACAAAGCATTGTATAACTTATAATAATATATCATCATCAATGACAAAAATATGTAAAAGTTATTACAATGAATTTTATAAATAACATAATACAATAGGGCGACGTAGACGATGACGACTGGATAAAAAAATCTATTTAGTCAGTCAAATAACAGAAAAATATTAGGTATTTTTTTAAACTTCAATTTAACAAGAAATAGCTTAGATAACAGGCATTAAAGTTGAGGAAGTGATGGAGGAGGATACGTCACAGTTTTGTAGAAAATATACAAAAGGGTGACATCATGTGACTTTTAAGTCAATTATTAACTCAATGTATTACCGTAATTTAATGATAACAAAAAAAAACGTGTCTCATATTTTTCAACAATCACCTGACGGAAAAACAAACAAAAATGAGTCGTCATCCCTATTAAAAAGTTAAACAAAACCCCATTACTTATTAATTAGGAATTCAAATAATCGGAACACGAAAAACATGTGGTATTTCGTTTTTAGTATCCACCACCAGGTGTACGTACTCACCTGCAGACGTCTGGTTGGCGATCAGGACACGACTGAGGACCCAGAGGCTCAATCATCCCAATTGCTGGCAGGATGCAGCTCGTTAGCTTTGACGATATACGCCGAGATTGCGCGAGATAATCACGTTTACTTGTGCAGATGACGATTTCGGAGGCACTATTTAGGGAGTCATCGGTGTTCCATCTGTGGTTATCGAAAGTAGGAAACCCAAGGTCAATCGATAGAATTTTTTTTTTTAGTGACTAAGTATTTGATATTTATTTCGCTTATTGTTGTTACCTAATTTTGAACATACAGTCATGCACTATAAGAAAGAGTTTCACATCATCCTACTGCGACTCAGGCCTTTCCTCTGGATGGAATCGACTCAAATCGAATAGAAAGAATCGACTATAATCCACCACACGGGCTCAGTGTGTTGGATGATAACGACTACAAATGCAGCCGGTACCAATTGCTTAATGTGCCTTCCGAAGCACGGAGAGATTCGAGATAATATTTGTTGGTCATCCACCCTATGACCGGCCTTTGCGAAAGTAGCTTAACAAAAAGCCATAGAGCTATAAGGAAGATCTTAAGAGTGAGTATAAAGCCAAGTATGTCCCTTACTACGCATGGCAATGAGATAAGGACAGAGGATGGCCAATTGCACGTCAAATACTGTTTATAATTAATAATTAGAACAATATTACGATTATTTTAAAAGTGCGGTATAATTCCCTTAGCTACAAAGTGACTCACATATTTATCAATTTTCCCTATAAAAATGTAAACTTACAATTAAAAATGTCGCAGAAATATGAGAGAGCGACATACACTGATGACTACTCTGAAGTTAAACCGACTCGGCTTAGGCATTTTCCAAAGTTTACTTGAACTATTGACAAACACAGCAAAACTTATATGCGACATGGTATGTCATCGATGATTGTTGATCTCTCAATTATTATTTAAGAGCTGTAAGATATGTATTTAAAGGTAATAGGACTGCTATATATTAAAGATAAAACACCTAAAAAAGTTATTGAATAAAAAGATCTGGACTAATTGATGGCCAGTCTTGAGCTCTGATGAAATCCGAAGCGGTTGTTTTTAACCAAGATTGGGTGAATCGAGCTTATCGGCGCCGAGTCTTGCTGAAAGGACTATTATTTATTGAACATGGTGTTGTTAAAGGGCTAACTAGAATGATGCCGATGTTTTAGTGCCTTTTTCACAAAAATATGTTTCGGTCACTCCTTTATAACTAACGCCCCAACAATTCTTCATTAAAATTAGATAATACTCACATTGTACTCTATAGACTAATCGTGAAGCATATTTAACACTTTGAGCATAAATACGGTCATTTTTTTTCTTAAAATATTGCTCAATTGTAAGAATTTTCTCACCCGTAAACCAAGTTTTTATGAGGCCTCCCTTTGCGTACCGCATAAGTAAGTGTTTTGATTTTACCACACAATTTTTATTATTATCTGTTAAGAAGTGACCAGTACGTTTCTCATAAGCAGCAAGTCTTAAGTCATCTTTTAAAATATGTGACATGGTTCAAAGTGCTATCCTCATCTCCTAATATAAAATCTTTTGCTTTCGGACAGGATTTCTTCGAATACTTTTCCTTACTGCTTTGATCGCCATTTTCCTACGAACACTACGTGGACCTATCAATAGCCCCGCACACAATCGTTTGACTAATACTAAACGTATGGAGGGTTTTGAAAATTGTGTTTGACTCCATACTTACTCTATGTAATGCAATCACAGCGATGCGATTCCCTTTATCACCAACTCCATTTTAATATCACAAAATATTTTATAATGTATTGGCGCGAAAATAAGAAATTCGATTTTTACGTACAAAACTTAGTATAGAACTGTTCGTAAAAGAAAAAGCTCGACCCATAAATAAATCAATTTATATATGTTTAGATGACTGAATTCGAACCCATAACTTTTTGCAATCCGGGCTTTACGTTCTTTTACGTTCCGAGCACTCACCGAACTCAACTCCAAAGAATTTCATCTCGGCCACCTGAGACTTTTTTTTAAATAACATTGTGAATTCAATATTGATCAAATATAAAATGAACATAGTGTTCGTTTGACATTATGGCATAGTTGGTGACGTATTTATTTTATAATCAATAAATATACATAAAAAACATTTCGGTCTAATGTTTTATCTTTACTTAAAAATAAGTTAGTCTTTACCAAGTAATGTCTCTGCAATTTGTAGTTTATTCAGCCTTTTCTCACACTTGAATTATTGTTCATAGTTTCCGTTACGTGCCCTCTTAATACCCTGTTTGATACAGTAGATAGATTATAATTCATTTTCGACAAATTGCAGACAACCTTTTGTTAGGCTATGCCCTGTCGAAGTATTAAACAGCCGTTATTGACAACTTTGTTACATTGAATAATGAAGTGGCCTTCAAGTTTTACCTTGAAAATCATTGGTACGATTATATCTATTGATGTCATTACAATTTAACTTAATAATTACATATATTTAAAGAAATATCTACAAGAAAATATGAATAGTATAAGTACACTCATGTTTCTAATAAAATTGCGCTGTATGGTTTCTCGTTAATTCTATTTGTTTTATTATGAGTATTCTAAAACAACATTTACATGCATACCCCAAGGAACTGATTGGAGGCCAAATCTATCATCCCGTCAATGCACGTAAACTCTTACGATTATTTTAAGAGTGCTGGATAATTCCCTTGTTAAGTGTTTCACATATCGAACAATTTCCCTTATTTTCCAAAAAAAAAATGGTAAATTTAGTGAATTTTACGAAAAACTTTGTTTTTCGGGAATATTTTATAAAATCACTAGATTTCCTGTATCCTATGTATAAACCTTACTCTTGAGTTGCTCTGAATATTGGTGAAAAGCGCCCTAAAATCCGTTGTGTGATTGAAAAGATCCCAGCGTACAGAAAGCGAAGCTTTTTTTGTTTTATATTATTTATAGAATTTTTGGCTTACATGGTGTAATGCTCGCATTTTTACAGCTGAAAGACATTATTTCTTTGTACAAACAGAACCAGCTGAAAGTGATTTGGGTGTATGTGTACTGTTAAAAAGCACCAAGATTTTGCTTTTTAAGTGCTAAGGTTACCATAGAACAAATGAATGAATATTTATCATTTCCCGTAACACATTTTTATTAGTTCACGTTATTTACTAACGCGGAACAATAAAAATATATTACAGAACAAGAATACGAGGATTTATAATCGATATTGTAACAATAAAGTAAGTAATGAATCATTTGTTTTCATGTTCTAAGCCAGATGCGACGGCCATCAGCCGATATGGACCGAATTTATGGTTTCGTTTCATAAAGAGATCGGGTATAATATTACTCCAACATGTGTTTTGTTATCAAAGTATAAAAATAAATCAAAACTTAAAATATTTAAACATGAAAGTTTTTATTTAACGTAAATAACAGAGGCAATGTTAAAATGTGTCACAAAATATTAGTAAAGAATCAGAAATAAAGTTTTCACGGATGCTACAGAATTGATTACAAGCTTTAGAGTAGATTAATAAATACATAACAGTGAGACATCTACTATTTTCAAAGCTTTTATTTTTTAACTTGAAATGTATGATTAATGAATTATTGAATGAAATAAATGGATTATTTCCTGCCCTGCCTCGATATGTTCTGTACATATACTTATCAAAGGCTTTGTTAAAGATACGACACAGTATTTTAATTACAAATATTAATTTAATATTTCATACTCATTATGAGAAAAATTTAATTATTGTAAGATCATCCAAATACTTGCATTTGACGGGTAATAAGGGCTTTTCCATATAAATATGAGACGTCGTCGTATTAAAATCTCATACTCAAATACGTTAAGACGAGTAACGGGTCACGGCACGGCATGCGGCACTATGATAATATTATGGAAATGCACATTGCGGCATTGTGGCGTCGATGTACACGTCGAGCAACGTTAAAATTCACGGCACGCCGATGCAACAGGAGAATGGATCAGTTTAATGAAAATGAATTTTACGGACTGCAGAACTGAGACCATATTATTTTTTGGTCACCCTATGACCGGCACCTCTGAAAGTTGAGTAACTTACGTATCAGAAACTAAACGCGTAAACTACTGCTTACGCCAATAAGTAATAACAAAGACTTAAAACTATATATTGAAAAGTAAACAACCTATATTTTAATTGCTAGACGCTAAATATCTGACTAGCTATTTACGTTCAAGGTGAAAATGATAATTTCCACCGTATTAGCGGAGTTTAGCTGCACTATTTCACACAGCTACTGAATTACACAATTGACTTCATTAGGATGATCTCCGTTAAACAATCTACCGACAAGGTTTTAGTTTTCTTGTTATTTCACCAAGGTCCATGTGGTGTGATGATTATAGTTATTGGCATTTCGACAAAATTCCGGCTACACATGCAGGTGGAATTAATCGGGCCATTACACGATAAAATCAATCCGTGATCTTGATCAGATTAGTTGTTTAACGCCAAATTGGATTGGATCACATATATCCAAACATGTTGATTTTTGTCATCAATCCACAAATATGCTCACGATCCAAATTAATCATCTAATTTCCGGCTAACAGCTTAACGTCTTTATGAAATAACGAAGATAATAGATAATCAAGATAATACATTTTAAGCCACTCATTCTACGACTGCCTTCGCATTCCAGACCGAAAAACGCCGATCACTGCCCCATCGAGCACCCCACTCTCATAGTATCTGAGTAAATATTTCGTCTATTTATCTCGTAGGATTTTCCTGTACTTTCACATAACATTTAACACCCCTGTTGTTTCTTTCCCTCTGTCTCTAACTCTCTCTCTCTCTCATTCTCCTTTGATTAACCATAAGTTTATCTTAATTTAGCACATATAATGTATGGTCAACAGTACATCAGGTTATGTAGATCAGTATTTTCAATTAAGCGATTTTTGACTTTGTGGAAGTATTCTTAGGTGGAAGGAAATACCATAGCATG